GCAGCAGCTGCACTATGAAGTTCTGCTTGTAGCTCCACGTCAGCAGGCAACTGGGTGACAGAATGTCCACGTCAAAGTCCAGAATGTTGGCGACGTTGAACATGAAGCTCAGGGTCTCGGGCCAGTTGAGGTCCACCTCGCCGATGATGTTAGCAAGCTGGGCCCAGGACAAGAGCATGTCAAGGGAGGCCACGTTGCTGGAAACAACCACGTTGAGGATGTACCATGCGACCAGCAGGGCCACTACCATGGAGATGAACACTGGTGAGGGCAGGCAGCTATAGCACTGTCCCACAAAGTTGTAGTAGCCTTCCTCACAGTCAGAGCACAGCCTGCGTGCACACAGGTCAGATATCAGGACAGAAAAGCTTGTCACTGCACTGAACTGAGGTTACATATTGCACAGTTCGCAGGCCCTCGGGGCCCTCCAAGCAAGCTAAAACTAAACGTCTCCTAAAGCGATGGCGTGGGTTGCCCACAGTTCACTGCACTGCTTTCGCTTACTTTTCATTCACTGGTGGTTAATATGGGCACTTCCTTGCAGCCACTATGGTGTCCCCTCCGGCTATGAAGCACCAGTCCCATCAAGCATTGCCCTAACCAGTTGCAACCAAGACCATGTATAACAACGGCGCCCATCAGCAAAACAACAACCAAAAGAACCAGGATCTCGAGCCACATCTGTTACTCGATTCACCGGCGCAAGCCATGTGCCATTCTGACCAGATGCGTATTTCTTGTCAAGCAGAGAACTGCAGACTGTGAAAAAGTGTCCAGCGCTATATGACGTATTGGATTGTTTCCCACCAAACCTGTGGACCCGGTCTGCAACTGCCGCCAGTGGGAACGAGCCCAATTCGCATTCCACATCCAGTGTACACACCTTCCGCTGTGACCTGTTCTGCATTGTCCCGTCAGGTTGCATCCCCCCAGGCAGTTGCCAGGATCCTCACATTCGTACACCTGCTTCGTGTCGACCTCAATCCAGAAGCCTGCTTCTGGACAAATCCCCCCCCGCACGCCCCCCTCGATGCCCTCGCCACAAACAGCCCCATCTGGGCACTTCAGGCACTCCTCTCCACTGTTGTTGACCTCACGGTGGTAGTAATGCTCCTTGCACACACAAGACTCGATGCCAATGCCCCCTGTGACTGCCTCGCTCAGCTCTGTGGTTTCCGGGCACACAACGCAGCTCGTCTCATTCTCCCAGTAATGGTAGGGTGGGCATGAACGGCACGAAGGCTCGTCTTCTTGGTAGGTGACCTGCCCGCGCTCGCACCTCTGACATGGGTCGAAAAAATGCTCAGGCTGTTGTGACAGGAACTGCCCGGCGATGCAGGTGTTCCTGTAGGCATTTTCTGCGGGCATAACCAAGCTGGCACTGGCCGCCTCAACAGGCAGCACAGCCACGATGTGCTTGTAGCCAGTGCCGTTCACCTGGATCTGAGTTGTCACAGGGTCCATTCCTATGTTCCTCTGGTACTCGTCAAACCTAACCTTCCCAAAGAAGGTGTCCATGTTCAGGGCCTTCAGAGACAGTCGAACCCTCTCATATCCTGTGATGTTGCGCTGGTCCTCGCACTTCATGGACGCATTGAACAGCAGCCGATCTGCATCTCCTTCTGAGGCCATGATGTCACAGGTCCTGAAGGCGCTCTTGATGGCTTCCGAGAGGGTGTAGCCCACAGCAGACGCCCCAGCGGCCAGCGCTGAAGGGGCGGAGCCAAACATCTCCGTGAAATTGGCTGAGTATTCCCGGGTCTTGCCAAAGAAGCTGTCTTCATACTGCACTTCGGTGGACCACTGAGCTGCACTGAGCAAGCTGTCCGCAGCTGTGGGGTCCAGATCTGCCACCCAGTCTTCCCTGGTTGGTCCAGAGGTGATGAAAAACGACTTCAAAGGGTACCTGAAGTGAGCAGCACGACACGGCAGTAGGCATCCCGCATTTTCTTCACAACTTAAGAAATATATGAATAGACAGCGAAACGCCACCACCACCACCAGCGCGTTTCGACACGCTTTTGCTGCTCAGTGCTATCGACTTGGCACCCACCGTGGCCTGCCGCGTCAGGCGCTCAACCTCAAGAAAATGCTGGCCCCTCTGTCTTTTCCGTGAGGATCTTTTCTGCTTCCGTTGAGGAGGCCAACGTCGGTCAGTGGGCAGTGCTTTCAGGGTTCAGGGCGCCCGAAACAAGAAGGGATCTTCACGGAAAAGACAGAACGACTGATTGGGTGCCCTTAACCTCCCGACGCGTGCGTTTTCCGACTTGCCTACACAACGCTCCCTCCCCCAACGGCACCCTTTCTCGGGGTACTTCCACTGTACTTCCCTGGGTTCCCTTGGGGCCCCGTACGCCGACGCAGTCACGACGCGCAGCACTGTCGGGCCCAGCGCGACAGTCAATCGGGCCCAAACCTTGACCGTCCGTCTACCGCGCTCCCCACCACAGCGCACCGGGGCCCCGCCCGGAGTCGGCCCAGCAGCCCCCCCGCCGTGCCTCAAGCCCCATCTCCAATTGTCGCCGGCCCGCCCGCAGCCACCCCTACCCCCACCTCAGTCAAGCGGATCGTCACACCAGCGGGGGAGACCCACCTGGCCTCGTGAAGCGCGTCGAAGAGCCGCCTGCCCTCCGGCAGCAGCGCGCAGGCGATCACGGCCTCGGCGCGGCTGGCCCGCAGGTCCTCCACGTACTGCCTGAACCAGTCCGGCTGCCCCTCCACCTCGCTCTGCGTGTAGTTGATCACCGGCGTGAGCAACGGCACTCGGGTCCGGTTCCCGCCGTCCTCCTCGTTGCGCACGTCCACCGTCTGGTGGAAGCGGGACAGGAAATCCACCGCCGCGCCGCAGGTGGTGTTGGTGAAGATGTTGTCCGCCTGGCGCACGATCGCCACGCGGTCGATGGCGTTCAGGTTGATGCTGGAGACCATCAGCTCAGTGTAGCGCCGGTTGGTGACGGTGACGCCGAAGACGTTTCGGAAGCCGGCCTTGTAGACCTCATCCGGGCCCACGCAGCAGTGGTACAGGATCTTGCCCGTGGCGTTGGCCATGTCCGACTCCTGGATCGCGAACTTGGGGTGCGAGCCCAGCATGAAGTGCACGTCGTCCTCCGTCAGCAGCCGCTCCACCAGCGCGCTGTGGCTGGCTGCGTCGTTGTGGTCGTCCAGGGACGTGAGCCGGAACTTGAAATACAGCTCGCCGTCCCGCCCCCCCACCCGCAGGCCCCTCCCGCCGGCCGACGCGTTCATCGTGGCCGCGAACATCTCGTACCCCTTGCGCGCGTCCTGCATCGTCCGGGTCTCGTTCACGCTGCTCAGCACCGCCCCCAGCCGGAAGACGCTCGTGCTCCGCGACCCCTGGCCGGCCGCCCCCGGCAGACGGCTCACAATCACGACCACAGCGACCGCGGCAAGAGCCATGGCCGCAGGTCTGAGGCTCCGCATCATGACGTCGCTGCCGCAGCCCGTGTGACCCGGTCCCGCGCCGGGTGGATGCCCCGGGCTGCGGTCCCCCCTCCCCGTGAGGCCGGGCTCACCGGAGGGGGGCCCACGCGGGGTGCGGCGCGCCGACGCCGCCCGGCGACGGGCCGCGCTGGCCCCCCCCCCGGACCTGACCCTGGGTCACGGCTGGGGCGCCCGGGGTGCTGCCAGCACCGGCTGCGCGGCGAACGTCCCAATGTGTACCTACATCGGACAGGCGAGGAAGGGCAAGGCCTGAGCACGTGCGCAACCGGCCGCCCGACGGGGACCTGCAGGACGGCTGACTAAACGGCCATCAGCCCGGTGGCTCCCCAGCCGCTGGGATCCGCCTTACCCAGGGGCAAGTGGCGGGACCGGGTTGCGGGGCGGAGGGGGGTACCCCCAGAGCCGGTGTGGGCCCCCAGGCGAGTCGGATGGGGGCCGTTGCGCTGGGGAGGATGGGGGGATTGTGCTGAGAGGGGGATGGATTGGGCGGAAGGGGGTGGCTAACCGGGGGCGGAAGGGATGTGGATGGCCTCCGGTGTGCAGGCGGCATGGCGCAGCGGCGCTTGGGCACCGAGGAGGCCATTCCAGGGGTGGGTGCGATGGGGTCCGACGCGCGCCTGTGCGCAGGCGATCGGCGGCGTGACGCGGAACCGGGCGGGAGGGGCGGAGGTGGGATCCGGGTCGCCGACGTCTCAACACAGCGGTGCGCTCAGCGCTGTCCGCGACTGACGCTTTCCGGAGGGGTCGACGCAAGTGTTGTGCGACAGAGCGGGCGACGGGCAGGCTTGAAAACACTCCGCGTCTTGGAGGGGATGCGCTCGGGCGTGTGCGCGCGGGGGCGGCCCCGGCCAATCTATCCGCGGCGGCAGCGTTGGCGGCTATTCTGGCCACTGGCCTTCGCACAGGAGCCAGCGACATGTCTGCCTCGTGCGAAACACGCGTCAGCGCCGTGCTGCCAGGACGCCTCGCTCACTCGTGCACGGTCAATCGCCGCAGAGCGCGACCTATGGGAAGGTGGAATGGACGCGGCGCATCCCTTGCCTTACCCTCCAGGCCTTCCCACTTCCCTCGGGGGTCAAAACACAGATGCCGAATGATGGGCACCGCGGATGTCTCAACGTTATTGCACGCCCCGTCAGCGCAAACACATGATCGCCCTCCTGCGCCCCTCCGTAGGCCCTGGCGGCGCGCTGCGTTGCGTTTCCTGCCCCCAAGGCGTTCAGATCGCGGGCGACGAAACGTCAGCTTTGATCGAGGCCGACGGCAGTCGCGGAACGATGGCCCCAGCGGTGATGCCTGTGGCGCCACCGGCAACACAGGGCTCGTTGATGGCAAGTGGTCAGCGTGGTGGACAGACATCAGGGGCGCGCTGGATGGACGCTGGACGCCCATTTTAACGTCGGCCAATTGACTGACACGAATGGAATCGTGCGAAGAACGCAGTCTTTACGTTCGGGGATTGTGGGAAACCTCCCCGAAAAGGAAATGTCGAGTCCCTGGCGTGACGAGACGTCGCACACAGCGCGACGACAGCGCAACGGTGCACATGCAACTACGCTGCATGTGTGAAGAGAATAACAGCGTTCACATTCTAATCGTTTTTTGTGGGCCAATGCCTACAGCGCTTGAACGCAAGATCTCAACTGGGTTTTCAACAGCTTCAATCGAGGGTGCGCATTTGGGGCTTCTTTCTTGTTGAAGGATGGCCATTGTTTGCTCTTCGCTTTGTGGGCGGGCGTCCCAGCGTGAAAATGAGGACGTCAAGACGGATGCCGGGACATGTTCTCCACTGCTCACATCAACAGGTTTTCAGGACTTCAGCGTACCACTATTCTTGTTTACACTGTCCAGGCGTTGACCTGTTGTAATTGAACAACCCGGGTTTGGAGCCCAATGCTTCGCGTGAAAGCAGAGCACGAATGAGATTTGGGATAGAGAAGTGCTGGCCCGACGCATGCGGGCAAGTAAGTTTGGTTCCCTAAATGGGCCAAGTGTCGAGAGTTCTGGAAACTCTGACGCGCTTGCGGCCAGCTGCGGGTTTCGCCCAGAAACCGGAGGGAACACACCTGTAAGCTCCATCGTAGCGCCAACGACGTGCATGCGCAGCAGTTGACCACGAGGTCAGCGTACACGGTCCGCGATGGATGGGAAGAACGGAAATGGGTATGCAGCTCTGCGCCACCAGCAGAAGGGCGCCGAAATCGGCGTTCTCCGGCCGTACTGGGCGGTCGTGCTCGAGTAGCAGCTTCAGCAAGACAAAACCTTTCGGCGCAAGCTTGCCTCGCAGCGGAAGAGGGGTCAACGCGCGTTGAGCGTCGCGAACAACGGGAGACTTCACAACTCTGCAGGCGGATTCAGCTGCTTCGACGCAAACGCACGACGCTTATACGCAAGGACATGTGCGTGCGCGGTGCCGTACCGCCAAAAGTGGTGCATGTCATTTGCCTTGGAAGCAACCCCGTTCATCCCTGAGTGTTCCGTTACCCCTGCTCGAGGGCACAGCCCTCAGATCGAAGCCTTTAGGATAAGGTCACTTCCCTTTCCGAGCGCCCACTTCACAGGGGCATCTGAATGCTTTAGAGCGCGGACTTCGCCAGTGCCTCAACACCTCAAACCCCCAAAACATGGGTTTCCAGTGAAGAATGTTGCAATGTTCCGCATTTTCTTCACTCGCAGTCGACAGGCAAAGACCCCGCGCGCCACGCGCCGCCGACACAGCTCGCCGCCGTGGTCCCTCACAGCGCACGGTAAGGAGCGTCGCCTCCTGCTCCCGCCTCCCACGAGAGGCGGTTTGGGGACGGTCGAAGCCGCGGTCAGCGAGGCGCTCTCACCAGCCGAAAGTGCGTCACGACCCCTCGCGTATCGCATTTCGACGCAAACCCACACAACGCAGATGACGTGCCGGTACCATGACGCCAATAGGCCGCCCCCTGCGCTCCACCTTCCCCCTCTCCGCCCTGCGGCCGCGGCCGCCCTGCGGCCGCGGCCTCCCCGCGGCCATGCCCTTCCCGACCCCCCGCCCCTTCTTGCGCCGCCCCCCACACCGCCCACCTTCGCCCCTGCCGCAGATCACCCAGCCCATGCCCCCCACACCCCTCCCTTACGAATCCCGTCGACAGGCCCCCGTCTTACTTAGCCAGAAAGAGCGACTGTCGGAGGGCTCTCATCATAGCGATGCCGGCCGTCTCTAACAGCGCCAGTAAAAAACCGGGCGGTGAAAAGATCGGCTCGCCAGCCCCATCGCATCTGTGGCATCCCGGGCTTCAGTTGCAACGCCGGATGGGGGCCAACTGCAGGACTCACCTCGGCGTCAGCAAGGAATGAGACGGCACGGAGGTCCCGCAGATTTCGTTCAGGGCTCTTGGGAGCGACCTTGGGGGCGGCTTCACGCGCGGCCGTCCCGCTGCGGGTAGCCTGGCCTGGCTGAGGCCACCGGGCCTCGCTGACCGCGCCGCGGGCGGGGGTAGGTTTGTCGTTACGGCGCGTCCCAGGGGGTCGCCAGGACGGGGATGTGCTCACCCGCGCATTTGACTTGCATTGCGCATCATCGCGCCGGCCGATGATGCCGTGTGAGGGGGCACACTGTGTGTACACGCGTGCATTTGCACCTGTGGTCTATTGGCGTCGGAGTGCGCAGAATGCTTGGAAGGTGAGGGAGCTGGGGAGCACCGCGTGTGGGGCTTGTGGGTTTAGTATCCGACTCTGTATCCGCCTGTCGGCGTCGTACCTTGGGTGGGAGCGGACAGGCAGCCAAATTCAACAGGGATTGCTTTTGGGTTTGAATGCGCGCCGACATTTTGTTGGTTGCTGCAGGTGCTCGTTTGACCTCGCATGTCCAAGTAGTATACCACAAGTGGGAGGACAGCTCGCTGGCCTATTACCTAACATTGAACTGCGCTAATTCATCATCTGCGCTGCAGCTTCGGCGCTATACACAGAAGCCTCATTTTGCAACTCGCCGGTTTTGTAGAACTGTACAAGCCTATGGAAAGGCATATGACTATGTGTAGTTGTGAATGAGTAGAAACCTTTTCGTGCGCAGGCAAATTCTTACTTGTGTTTAACGCTTTTTGAATGGGACCAGCTCTTTTTTGGCATCATTTTTCCTGCTGCAAGGCGTCTATTGCATTCGGGAAGAAAACATTTTTTCGGACAGATTCGCTGTTCCAGTGCTGCGTCCTTCCAGTCCCTGGCCACACATACATGAGAGCACACCGCACTGGGGATTGCCAAAAGCGTTCCAAACGACAGTGTTACGGCGTGATACCGAGAGCGCACTGGGCGACGACATTTCAAGTATCCGAGCTTCAACATTCTGAACGGATCATCCCACCGGATAATGTAGACAGGCTTGTTCAGTGTGCGTGTTTGGATTATTATTAATAAGTATGCACACTTGAATACGCACGTCTCTATTGCCACGCGTGCAAATATGCATATGCGCTTTCTAAGCATCGCAGCGTGTCCCCACATATACCCTCAACGCACGTGCGCATATGTACGGGCACCCGACCAGTACATATCATGTCCGGGTTTGAGCGCTTCAGATAATGCGCTACCATTGCACATATATGCGTATTATTATTGGACCTGGATTCATCAGCGCCCGCAACACAAGCCTAAATAGAGCCAATGAGGAGAGCCCGTTTAGCTTCCCTGCTCAATACGAACAGTCGGGAATGCATTTTCCACCTGTAATAATTGTTGTTCGCACCGCGTTGTGCGGCGTTGCTGGGGACCAAAGGTTTCGTGTTAACACTGGCCTAAAAATGAGCGGGCGACTCTCGTATCAGTCGTCGTGTCTTTGGCAAGTGCAACCAACACGGATATGTCAATGAACACAGCCGATTGCCAGAATGGATTCCATGTAATTGTGTGCGTAGCGTCTTCAAAATGGTGAAGCATTGTGTTGGAGTTCATGAATAGATTGGGCGAGGTGGAGGTAGATGCGGTGCTGGCGAGAATCGAGGTGACGGCGATGA